TTTTATAATTTAGTTAGACATTTTGGCCTTGGCCTGAGTTAATGAACTTTGATTTCTCCTCTACAATAAAGAAAATGGAAATGATTTTTCTCTCTCTCTCTATATATATATGTATGTGTATGTATGTTATATGTTTGTCTCTAGGTGTACATATACATGTATACACACACACACACACTCTCTCTCTCTCTCTCTCTCTCTCTCTCTCTCTCTCTCTCTCTCTCTCTCTCTCTCCTGCTGTTTTAAAACAAAAGCTCTGGGAAGTAAACACCTCTTGCCCCTTAACTCTGCTCCCCTCTTCTATATAATTATTCGGTGTTTTCTGAGTTAAAAATCTGTTTTCGTTCTCTAACTAACTATCTAAAGTTAGATCTGAAGTCACTTCACCATTCTTGGCCTTAGCTTTCTTCTCTGTAAATGAAGAGTTTGACCTACCTGGTATATAACCATGGTCCTCTGAGCCCTTGAAGTCTAAGTTCTGTGATTTCAAAGTGCTTCTAACAATTTATCAAGCCCTTTCTTGTAAACTGAGGTTATTTAAAATTATATGGTGCTTATGTGATTTGAAAGAATTATTGCATATCTAATGACATTTAATTATTTCCAATGACAAAATCACACAGGAGAATTTAAATAGCTGTGTTGTAATTTGAATATAATTTGACCTAAGATACGATGTAACTCAGATATTTACACCTAGATGTACCAGCAAAAATGTGGAAGGGGCAGGCCAAGCAGGCCGTGTTTGGACTACATGACCTTGTCTTCTCTTCCTCCTTTGTAGCTCTCTGGACCAGGAAAATGCCTGGCATTAAGCTGGCCCATTCATAGGATGACGTATGTCTGCTTCAAAATGAGCTGGGCCATCCAATGATCTTGGCATTCTGAACTCAGAAATACTAAGACAGAGAGGAAGTTAGCAGCAGATGCAGAACCAGAAAGAATGTACCAAGAGTTATCATGAGGAAAGAGTCCAGTCTATCGTCATGAGGGAGCAGAAGCCTCAAGCAGAGGTGCCCCCAGAGAGAGGAGAGAGACTGAATAGTCCAAGAGAGTCAAGGAGTGAGTGGCATTAGGTTCCCCAGAGCTGATTCCAAAATCTAAGCTACAGAAATCTTTATGATAAATCTCTTACTTGAACAAACTCAAATAGGTTTTTCCTCCTTGCTATTAAAACTACCCTACTAAATTGATCAGTGTACACATATCCCCCCAAGAATCATTATGAGCTCCACAAAAACTGGGGCCACATCTGAGTTCTTTCTCGTTCTTTCCCCAGTACCTTGCAAAGTGACAGACATGAGCTAGATTAGAAAACATTTGTTGAATTAGTAAATGTATTCTCTGATCAATCAATGAATAATCTTGAATAAATTTTAAACTTCACTTCTATCGTTTACTTTTAGCATAGATTATAACTAAAACTGCATTATATGTGACTGTGGGAGGACTCACATTTTCAATGAGTATTAATAAAATTAACTTTTCATAAGTTGGCTTTAACTTTAGAATATTTGTTATCTCTTTGAAAAGTTTATCAAAATAGAGCTTTTATAGATTTTCTAAAAATAGGCACCACGTGTCATTCTTAGAATTGATTTGTGGGAATCTGCTTTTTCCTAGTCACATTATGGCATATTTAAGTTCAGAATGCCAAGATCATTGGATGACCCAGCTCATTTTGATGAAGCGGACATGGGTCATCTTATCAATGGGCTGCCTTAATGCCAGGGGACAAATCCCTGACCCTTATGTGTACGGGGACAGTGTGGGTCTCTCCATCTATTTCTGTGTTACTCTAGTAATGAATTTGTGCTGACCGTCTACCGTGTTTCTTCCCTTGTCTCTTATGTGACCAGAAATAATGTTTCTGAAAGAGAAGTAAACAGGGTTAGAAACATGCCATCTGTGGCCAAGGAAACAAGCAAAGCGAAGCCAGTTCTTCAAATTGGAATACTATTCCACAGCCACAGGCAGTGGACTTGATCCTGATCCTGGAGCATCAAACTCATTATTACATGGATCTGGACCTGTCAGAGGTCATTCACGTAACCTGGAATAGACACAGTTACAAGGGAAACCTTAAAACATCAGGACGAGTTAGCTGGGTGTGGGGGTGTACACCTGTGATCCCAGCTACTTGGGAAGCTGAGGCAAGAGAACCGCTTGAACCTGGGAGGCAGAGGTTGCAGTGAGTAGGGATCACGCCACTGTACTCCAGCCTGGGCAACAGAGTGAGACTCTGTCTCAAACAACAATATCAGAACAACTTTGTCTCTAACATTCTTTATGGAAAATTGATATTATTTGAGATGGTCTAAGATAATCTATAGAAAATAGATGCAGTTAGGTAACATTAAAATCCAAAAAAAAAGTAGTTGGAACAACAGTATCCTCAAATATATTTATAATATTTAAGAGTTTACTGTCGTTGTAAAGGAGAAAGATTTAAAATTGAATGGATTTTAACAAAATAGAGACAAAGATCACCGTAAGGGAAGAAAGCTTGAGTTTCGAGGGTTCTTGAACCACATAGGCCATTATTTTTATATAACATGCAAGTATTTCAGTCAAAACGCACATTCTGTCTGCAATTATTATGCACCTGTTATGTACCAGTTGTCATGTACAGTTGCATGAGTTCTCTTTCCCTCTTTTGAGACCTTATCTCGGTGTTATCTAGAGGGAAAAATTTTCAAGATGAATAACTGAATATATTTTAAGTAAAAAGCAAAATATTAACCCTAAGTTATGTCTCAGATGCTTGCAAAGAAGTCTCGAGAGTGCTAATGATTCTGAAATAGGAGTATACTTCTCTATGCTCAAATCTGTGGTTACTTTCACTGATTTTGACTTAAAGTCATCCTTTTGGAAATTCAAGAAATTCATCCATTGGGAATACAAATAAATATGAGTCAGCACGAAGAATTATTTGGGTTTATATTGATTGACAGACATAAAGAGCCACTGTTTGATCAAGGCCTGTGAAAATTCATGCTTACAAGTTGACATCTTAGATTGAAAGGATAATCATTGATTCAATCAGTTTTCTAACGCATGAATATAAAAACAGCAAATCAAAACCTCAATGGAAAATAGCTCTCCCTCTTCTGAATAAAAGAAATGGCTGAAGGAGCAGGTGGGCACGGTCTGCCTGTGAGAGAGCAGACTTCAGTCACAGAGGCAAGGAGTGGTGTGGCAGGCAATGGAGTTGAATATATTTTTAAAAAATAAAAATAGAAAAGGTCTGTACTTAATGCCATAGAGCTCTAGTAGCTGAAACTAGGATCAGTGAGTAAAATTTACAAAGAGGCCAATTTGTGGTAAAAAGGGAATGGGCTGTCTGGGAGATACCAGTCTCATTACATATGAAGCACCGCAGAGAGGCCAGATCACCACCATTCAGAAAGTTCTGTGTTGCAACACAGGCACCTGGGAGCAGCACTGGACTTCCCACATCTCTCTGCTGAAACATTCGTTTATCCTTCCTGATGCTCATAAGCCTCCAGTATTTTCTTATTCATGCTGTATTTTGAATCCAAACAATTACATGATTTATGTGATACTCCCCACCCAAAATTAAAAAAAAAATTGAGTGCACATACACACACACACACACACACACACACAAATATAAAAACGGTTTATTTCAGGATCAGTTACCTAAATATATTTTAAGTAAAAATCAAAATATTAAAGGCCATACTTAATACTTAGTTGCCTTTAAATAGCATGTGCTTATTAGGTCCTGTGAAGTTGATTGTTGTTGGTTCAGATTCTTACTGTTAATGCATTCTTTGGAAATACCCTTTTAAAACATTTTGGTAACAGCAGAGTGAAGATTCTCCTTTTTGGTTTTATATTTTTGACTGGAAAAAAAAATAAACCTGAATCATGGAAGTATAAATGTATGGTTAATTTTTTGTGTTTTAGACCCACCGTCCTGTGTAAATGCTCACTTAACCATAGGCTAAGAAAATACTTGGAAACAGAAAAGAAAATGTGAATTACTGATTGTCCTCTTAATTTACAAATGCTTCATGTTTTTGCTTGAAGGCAGATGCTATGAAGTAAGCAGTTGCTGTCTCAGTTGAGTGCTACAAGTTCAATGTCCCTGGACCCCATGGTAGATAGTAGTAGTTAATAAAAAGCTCAGCAGTACTTTTTAAACCAAGTAATCATGCTGTACTCTGTAATTTTATTCTTGGAAGCATGAAGAGTATTGACAATATAGTGTCTTTCTAGGATCAGAATAGTGAGGGGAAAAAAAAATGGAAAAATGTCCAAACATCCTTGCATGGCAATGATGGCATTACTGGTGTGTTTAATAAAACCTTTATTGGTACATTTTCCGGTGTGGTGGCATTGGCAGAAACCATCCCCCTTTGGATTTGAAACTCAGCAGCTGATGAAATACAGTAAACATTAATTTGGAATGGGCTGCCAGTTTTGGAAAGCCAGGTGACATTTTATTATATTTGTACCAAGCAGAGGCTGTGTCCCATACTGCTGTAGCTTCCGCTGTCAGAGGCTTAGCTGGCATTATGGAAAAAAAAAAATGGCAGGCCTGAGAATCTTATCCCCTGAAATGAAAGTTGAATGCCAAATTGAAATTCCTGTAGGATTTCCGATAGCAATGGGGGAATTGAGAAGCCCACAATTAAGCATATGGGCATTAAGATAATTGTCAGATCTGTTGGCGGACATGATAGAAGACAGATGGGTACGAATCAGTGCGCTCCACTGCAGCACCCTGGGAGACAATTTGACGTTTTACCTGCCTGAGCTACTCTGCCATATTTGTCACTGAATGTACAGCACAGCATCTTACTGAGTGTTAAGTGTTTTCAAAGGAAACTATAGGTGCATGTGCGGTCCTCCGGCGCCCTCTAGTGAAACGCGTTTGGGAGTATCGTTTTTGAAAAGCCAGCCTGCCTTCCTCAGGTCCTAGTGTGGCATTCGGTTCCTGCTCACCTCTCTGGTTTCTCTCACCCTTTCAGGTGGGGACCCATCGTGAAGATGGCGTGGCCCTGAGAGGCAGCCATTCTCTTCTGCCAAACCAGGTTCCGGTCCCACAGCTTCCTGTCCAGTCTGCGACTTCCCCTGACCTGAACCCACCCCAGGACCCTTACAGAGGTAGGTCAGCCTCACCAGGGCACTTCTGACCTCATTTCCACAATAAGCCCAGTGTTGATACCCAGCCTCTGGTGTTCATCCCTCAAGAAGCACTGGCGGAAACCCAAGAATCAAATTGGGTACAAAAATCGTAAGTAAATGGGAAAGTATTTAGAACTTCGCCCACTAATCTTGTTTCTCCAGGGACTGTTTTCCTCAAACATCCTCTGAAATCTCGGTCCTATATCAGCAGGGAATGAGGCCACAGACTCATGAGAGGAAATTTTATTTTAGCTATTTCCACATTTTTCTCATTCAGGCCCTCTAATGTGGTTAGTTGTGGCCTGAAAATGATATTTCCAAATGAATAGGAAGGAAGGAAATTGTTTTTGTTAAGATGGAAGGAAATATAGGTGCATTTGCAAAATGGGGCTTGCTTGCATGATTTTCGCTTCTGTGTCGGCTAGCCCTGTAATGATTGCCTCGTACCAGTGACTACGAGCATCTTTTCATGACCCCAGGAAGTTGGGCTATGGCTGGCCAGATGACTGGCAGTCACTTAGATAACATCTTCTCAGTCCCTTCACATTTAATATATAAATGATAACATTGCCACAAGAATACATGGGCATCTTTCCAACTATTTAACATTGTATAGAACTGAGTGCCAATTATATGTATGGGTACGTCTGCTCATTTTTATATGAATAGTAATCGTTTTATGAACCTTTTTTTTCGTTTTCTTTTGCTTCTTTGAGACAAAGTCTCACTCTGTTGCCCTGACAGAGTGCAGTGGTGCAATCTCGGCTCACTGCAACCTCCACCTCCCAGATTCAAGGGATTCTCCTGCCTCAGCCTCCCAGGTAGCTGGAATTATAGACATGCATCACCATGCCAGGCTATTTTTTGTATTTTTAGTAAAGACAGAGTTTCATCATGTTGGCCAGGCTGGTCTTGAACTCCTGACCTCAAGTGATTCACCCGGCTCAGCCTCCTAAAGTGCTGGGATTACAGGCGTGAGCTGCGCCACCTGGCAAGGAGCTTTCTTTTCAAGAATCTTTGGTTTTTGCCCTCTTTGTCCTAAATCCTTGCTTCTCAAACTGCACATAAGCACGACCTGAGGATCTTGATAAAATGCAGGTTCTGATTCAGTAGGTCTGGAATTGTCCATTGCTAATGAGCTCACAGGTGATAAGGCCACTTGGACCAAAGTTTGAGTGGCAAGGTTCTAGAATACACAGATTACAAATAATGGGAAATACTTGACAGACATGCTTCTACCTTAAAAGAAAGTTATTACGTAGGGTCGTGTTTTAAAATGCAGTGTGACTTGGAAAGTTGAGCAGTGATAAAGCTAGAAATTTTTAAAAGGAGTAGCAAACTGCCTTCCATATGTACCATTTTAAAATGCTGATTACTCCTTGAGAATAAGAGAAGCCTAATTTCAGAATATCATTAGGGTACCTATTGAAGTCTTGACTACGCATATTTAGCATACTCCCTGGGAATTATATTTTAAGGACATTTTTCTATTAAATCATTGCAAATGGAAGAAACTCAATATAATAGCTGATATTTACTTGGGTTCTTAATCAGAACATTGGGTGTGTGATTTTCATGATTATGATTTTCATTGCAATTAAGTTGATGTTTTGTAGACAGTGAAATTACCATCTACTCCAAAAGATTGCAAAATAGAATTTAACCTTAGAGCCGATGCAGGGAAAACTTGTTTCTGCAGGTGCATTTTTGAAACTTCAACAGATAGCAGGAAAAAAAAAAGTGACAGAAGGATCACAGTTCAGCAGTATGAACTGTCTGCTGGCAGCCTTGCAACCTGGTGTGCAGGCAGTGAGTTTTCGGCATACATGTCACCTGATTTCTCTTTTTCTGTAGGCATGCCACCAGGACTACAGGGGCAGAGTGTCTCCTCTGGCAGCTCTGAGATCAAATCCGACGACGAGGGCGATGAGAACCTACAAGACACGAAATCTTCGGAGGACAAGAAATTAGATGACGACAAGAAGGATATCAAATCAATTACTAGGTCAAGATCTAGGTAACAGTATATAATACTGTCGCTTCATTTAATTCCTTTATTGGACTTTGATGAAGTGAACAGAATGGGAAGAAACTATTCAGTTTTTTCCTGGCAGGTAAATTTACAGCTGAAAAGAAAATTAAAGGCCTACTCTAGAAGTACTAAAAGTATCATTTAAGATACCTGTACTCTAGGGAGGCCTGAAATGTTTCGGCATTGATGAATTTGGACCCAATGAATGACACAGTGAAAACAATTTGTATCTAATTCAAGTACAAACAGTTTATTTTTAAAACTCTACTTATTCAACAAATTTGGTGAGAAATGTTGTTTCTATAATATTTCCAAAGAAAGATTGTAGCCGTGTTAAAAGCTCAATTGATGTATGTGCCAATGATAACTGTTTTCTTACCTCCAAAGTGAGAAATACTGATTTCCTAGATTTATCCTACACAATATTGATGTATATAAGAGTAATACCTAAATTGCTAATGGTTTTTCCTCTTGGATACTCTTTTCTATGGAAAACACAACTGCAGGAAACTAGCTTCTGGCTGGTTTTCTTAAATATCTGCTACCTTTACATTCCAATCTCTTTCCCCAGAAATATAATCTGGTAATCAGATGGCTTTTGAATACCAACACCCATGTACTTTGCCTCAATTCCGTTGGGTTATTTTTACTTAAAATTTAACCAATTGTCCTAAGACTACAGCTTCCTTCTAAAGCCTGTGGTTCTCAAGGTTCTACCTAAGCTCTTGTGAGTTAGGAACATGCTGCCTCTTTATGTTGCCTTTGTAATTATTGAGATCAATTCCATATCCTACCACAAGTTTAAAAATGCTGAGTGCTTCTGGATAAACATTTTCCTTCCTCATTGTAGTTTTCTGATTCTTGGCCAAGTTGGCAAGAAATCCCAAGGAGGGGATTTCATACCTTTAACAGCTTCTGTGTTAGTCCAGTCAGTTCTTGGTAATTTAACTTATTGTGGCCACACTTACGCGTGTTAATGGATTCTTTGAAGTTTCAGAACATTTTCACGTGCTGTGGAGAAACTTCCTGTTAAAAAGGTCACTCTTACGACATTTTCTTATGTGTGTGTCCAAAACTGTATCATAAGGCAGTGCTTTTCAAATCTAGGCAGTTTTATGTGCAAAACCAATTTATTTGTAAGTGAATAACCAATTGTAATTGGTTATTAGCCTGAAAACCTTTGGAAGAAAAGTTCCCATTTTCCAGTCCCCTTTGTGTAAGGTGTGGCACATGCTGGGTATATAAAATATCACTCAAATGCTTAGCTTCAGGACAGGCCCAACAGAGCCCTTTTGCTTTTTATAGCCTATTTGCATAGTGGAATATAGAAGTGAATTAATTATAACAATTTCCTTGGCATTGGCAGCAGTCGAGGATAAGGGCAGAGGAGGGATCAGCAGAAGGCAGAGAAAGAGTCCTTTCCAATGGACTCAGTTGAATTGCATGTTTACCATACACACCTGTGGCGGACAGTACCATCTGGAAAGGCGCTTAAGCTGTGGAGGGAGGAGAGCCTGATCGTACAGCATCCCTCTGTGGTGTCATCCTCCTTGCCCCTAATTTTTCTCCTTCACCCACATGTTCTTTACTTATGTGCATCGTCTTTATGTGTAACGTGTACTTGCAACCCAAGAACACCACTCCCACTTTTGATTGATTGGAGCTTCTCAAGTGTAGGTGGTCTTTACTGCCACTTGGAAGTTACCCAGAGATTCTCCAAAATGGAAGATGAGAGTCATACATTTTAAGCCAGTATTCATTAAGTATACATTGAACTGACTAATTTCCCACGTCTACTAACTCCGAAGTGTTGTGATTAATGATTTTTATCCTGTGAAGATTTCTGATGTGGGAAATTTTAAAGTAGCGGTTAACCTTCATGATCCTATAGATCTATACTTTACCCTCTAGGTTAATTGTTAGTCACTTCCATGTAGTTTCTTGTAATGCGGAATCTACTGATGTTCAGTGAAGTTCGTTTCATTTTCTTATGTCTTTCATAAGCCCCTCAAATCCTCATGTTTATTCACAATAGTCATTCAGAGCTCTGTGTGCTGCTCTGCCTTCTCGAGACAAGACATTATGCACACCTCTCTTTTTAACATGATAGCCCTTGGAATATTTGAACCCTGCTTCCATGAAGACTTCCTGATATGACATGCTTTCCAGGTGGCTCATCGTCCTCTTTGCGTTCCATTCAAAAGTTTTTAATTTGTCACTGTTGCACCCAGAAAATGGACAGAACTGATCTTATCTTTTCAGACTCTTCTGGGCCCAACCATGCCTTTATTATGAATCATGGAGTATTTTGGTTTTCACAATCAGAAATTAGCTTTTGGCTTTTGTTTTGGTAAGAGGCAAAGTCTGGTTGTGTTGCCCAAGCTGGGATACAGTGACCTGGTCACAGCTCACTGCAGCCTCCCCCTCCTAGAGTTAAGTGATCCTCCCACCTCAGCCTCCCAGGTAGCTGAGACTACAGGTGTGTGTCGCTGTGCCCGGATAATTTTTTGTAGAGACAAGGTCTCACTGTATTGCCTAGGCTGGGATTAGGGGCATGAGTCACTGTGCCCCGCTTTCTGCCTTCTTTTTTGACTCACAGTGAGGTCCTGGTCATTCATAAGCTGTAGGTGTTTGGTTTTTTGAATCGTTTTGCATGGCTGATATCAATTCAGGTTTCCCAAACCTGTTCTGGGGATCATAAACATCTATAACATTAAAGACCACAGAAGTCATGTTTTTCTAACCTTTTATTTAATACATAGAGAAAATGAGACTCACATAGGGTAAGTGGGTTGACCAGGCCTTCAAAGCAAGGTAATGGTGACACCTGGATAAAAGCCTCACTGTCTTCACTTCCATTGCTCTGATGTCTTAAATATAGGTTTTTCTTATTACTCCTGTTAAGCTGCCTTGTATTTTTTTGACCTGTCAAAATCATTTTTCAATTACTTGTTTCCTCTAGGTTTCAGATGTCACGGTATGAAAGGTTTTATACATGTCAAAAAAGATGAAGTATGAACTTCAAGTCTTTTGGAAGCATGGTTAGACAGCGTAGGCTAAGCATAAGTTGGTGAACTTACACTTTGCAGAGTGTAACTCCACTGATAAGAAAAACTGTTTTCCCTCCCCGCCATCAGTATAGGCACACTGCACTCAAACTTTAATCTATGTCATCCTCACCTGTTTGGTTCGGGTTTAATGTCTGCGAGGAAAACCAAATATCTTGTGTATTGTGGACTATCACAGCCATCTAAACCAGTCCCAAAGTCAAGTGGATATAAAAATTCTGCCAAAGATATGACGTAAGATGGAAAAGTTCCCTGAAAACTCTGGAAGCAAACAAAGTAATATAGACACTTTTTTTCCCCCACACCATTAGAAAATGTCACGTCCCTTTTGTCCCACAGCAATAATGACGATGAGGACCTGACGCCGGAGCAGAAGGCGGAGCGTGAGAAGGAGCGGAGGATGGCCAACAACGCCCGAGAGCGCCTGCGGGTCCGCGATATCAACGAGGCTTTCAAAGAGCTTGGCCGCATGGTGCAGCTCCACCTCAAGAGTGACAAGCCCCAGACCAAGCTCCTGATCCTCCACCAGGCAGTGGCCGTTATCCTCAGTCTGGAGCAGCAAGTCCGAGGTGAGTGCAGGCCAGCCTCCTTATAGAGCTCCTGGGGAGCTCATAGCAGGCACAAGCTGAGATGGGCACGCCAGCCTTGAGCAGTGGCAGAGAGTAGACTTTTTTTTTTTTTGAGATGGAGTCTCGCTCTGTCACCAGGCTGGAGTGCAGTGGTATGATCTCAGCTCACTGCAACTTATGACCCCTGAGTTCAAGTGCTTCTCCTGCCTCCACCTTCCAAATAGCTAGGACTGCAGACATGTGCCACCACACCCGGCTAATTTTTGTATCTTTAGTAGAGACACAGTTTCACCATGTTGGCCAGGATGGTCTCAATCTCTTGACCTCATGATCTGCCCACCTCAGCCTCTGAAAGTGCTGGGATTAAGCCCAGCCCAGACAGTAGACTTTTAAGCATCATTCCAAAGAATTGTTTCAATTACAGACTTTGTCTAAATCCATGAGGCAGCCTCCCTTTCTCCTGTAATTAAGTTGTAGGATTCTCTCTTTTTTTTTGAGACAGTCTTGCTCTGTCTCCCAGGCTGGAATGCAGAGGCACAATCTCATCTCACTGCAACCTCTGCCTCTTGTGTTCAAGCAGTTCTCTGCCTCAGCCTCCCAAGTACCTGGGATTACAGGTGCCCACCACCATGCCTGGCTAAGTTTTGTATTTTTAATAGAGATGGGGTTTCACCATCTTGGCCAGGCTGATCTTGAACTCCTGACCTTGTGATCCACCCACCTCGGCCTCCCAAAGTGCTGGGATTAGAGGCATGAGCCACTGCACCCTGCTAGTCATAGGATTCTCTTATAACTAAGATTGTATTGCAACTTTCCATATGTCCTGTCAGTAATTGGAGCTTAGTTTATTTGCTTTCCCAACCTTTGCTTACACTGTAAAGAGGCTGTATACACTCACCATACAGTTCACCTTTTACTAGTGACTGACCAAATGGACCGCCACAGTACTTAGTAACTGTTCCTTTTGTTCTGTAATATAAACACTGAGAAAAAGGTCAGACGTGCAAGAAGAACGCGTTGCTGCCCTCTGCCAGAAGCCTCGGCATTAAACACAGGTCCTGTGCTTTAATCCTCCACAGAAAGGAATCTGAATCCGAAAGCCGCCTGTCTGAAAAGAAGGGAGGAAGAGAAGGTGTCCTCGGAGCCTCCCCCACTCTCCTTGGCTGGCCCACACCCTGGAATGGGAGACGCATCGAATCACATGGGACAGATGTAAAAGGGCAAGTTTGTTTTCAGCCATTTCCGAAATCGATCATTCGTAACTCTCAGCAACGTATCAGCCATCAAAGTGAATTTTACCCAAATTGACAGATACTTTCTTTCATGGAAAAAGAATTCAAAAAAATAAAATAACAACAACAACAACAAAAAAAAAACCCTTCCTCTGTGACAACTATATTAATGAATTTTTTCTCTCTTTTTTCCTTTCTCAGGTCCAAGTTGCCACATTGCTTCATTAAAACAAGAGACCACTTCCTTAACAGCTGTATTATCTTAAACCCACATAAACACTTCTCCTTAACCCCCTTTTTTGTAATATAAGACAAGTCTGAGTAGTTATGAATCGCAGACGCAAGAGGTTTCAGCATTCCCAATTATCAAAAAACAGAAAAACAAAAAAAAGAAAGAAAAAGTGCAACTTGAGGGACGACTTTCTTTAACATATCATTCAGAATGTGCAAAGCAGTACGTACAGGCTGAGACACAGCCCAGAGACTGAACGGCAATCTTTCCACACTGTGGAACAATGCATTTGTGCCTAAACTTCTTTTGGAAAAAAAAAATATAATTAATTTGTAAGTCTGAAAAAAAATATTTAATTTAAAAAAATTGTAAACTTGCAATAATGAAAAAGTGTACTTCTGAAGAAAACTACATGAACGTTTTTGTTGGTATTCAAGTCAGCTAGTGTTTATAATTACTGGATATTGAATTAGGGGAAGCTCGGCTGCCCTAGTAACAAAACCAGCAAACGTCCTGATGACAACGAAGTGATGACATTAGCCATTCCTTAGGGTAGGAGGAACAGATGGATCTTATAGACCTATGACAAATATATATATAAATATATATATAAATATATATTAAAAATTTAGTGACTATGGTAAGCTTTTGTTCATTTGTTTCAGACTTTTTTCTCCTGTAAAAAAATAGTACTGATTAACTTTTTTAAAAGAAAGATTTTACTGTAAATATGGATTTTTTTTTTTTTTTTGGTCTTATTTCTGTCCCTTTCCCTGGTTTGTTACCATAACCTGTAGTGCCAACTCTGCTTCCAGAGGGGTAGTGCAGGATGAAAGGCTGACCCTGATGTTGCTTCTCATTCATAAATAAGTAGAAAGTTGTTTCTCCAGTCTTTTGGGAACACAAGACTTAAAAGTCACATCATGTGTAGATATTACAAGCAGCATTACCAAGATATGGCAAAAAGAGTTTGTCTGAATTGTAATGTTGCGTTTGTGACCCTATTCTGGGATTTTCAGAGGTACAAGGTTAGAATGCTACAATGTTACCACTGTGCCTTCCAATGTTTATATCATCGGAAACATAACATAATCAAAGTGGCTGTGATTTAACAAAATGATTAAAGTGTTACCTACCTGTGTAGCCGAAGTAGTGTGCAGTGAGGCGTTTCTGAATACATGGTCAGATTTTTGGAAAAAAACAAAAACAAAAAAAACAAAGTTCAAAATCCGTCAAATGAGAAAATTGCAAGTAGTGTGACAGAGCTGATTGATTTTGTTGCTTTCTTGATTTTTTTTTTCAAAATGGGTTTACTAAAATGTAGATGACTTAACTGCCTCCTCCTTCATCTGAAAAATGCCAATATTCAATCATCATGCAGCATTATAACAAGCCTTATGAGTCCTAAAGCATTAAGTTGCACTTTTTTGAGGAGGGGTAGTGCAGTATTTCTCTGGCCAGTATGAATGAAGTTTATACTTACCATATTTGATAGAAACATAGATCAAGCTATGGCACAGCGACTCATCAGATAGCTAGCTTTGACGTCTGGGCACAATTGAACCAACTTCCATCGTGAATCTTTATAATGATTGACTTTGGTGTATAGTGCAGTAAACAAATAGTGCTCCTAGTTAAGTATTTGTCAGCATCCTTTTGTCTCTAACTCGTTTCTATTTTTACAGCCACACAATCTTGGCATGTGTATTAAGAAAAAAAAAAAATCCCTGTTCAAGTAGTTTTTCCACCTATCAGCACTGAGTAAATGCCATAAATCCATTGAAATGGTCTAAATGTTCCATCTGTTCTCCTGTTTTGCCAGTTATATAGTAATGAAATACATTTGTAAATTTTATGCAACAAATGGCAAACGTATCATTATTTTGAAATTGTGTATGTAAAAGTTATATTTTTACATGTAGACTCTTGTTATTATGTGTTTTAATACATTGTATCAATTTTTGTTTTTTTTTTAAGCTGTGTGGTTTAAAAAGAAGTCTCATTTAAATGAAATAGTGAGCTACAAGAATCAGAATTTTATGTTCATTTCTGAAAATGTAAGAACAAATAAGATAGTTACCACGTGGTCATCTTTTACAAACCCATAAACATTTTGATTAGCTGTGTGTGTGTTGAAAAACTGTAAATATGTTCAGTAGCGATAAAACTAAAATAACTTTGATTTGTTGATAAGTTCCTAAAATGTGGAGGTGGATTAAAACCTTAGGAGAATAGCAGAAATCAAACTTCATGAAAAGTTATTTTGGGGCTTTCCTGTGACATGTATGAACAAAGAGGCTCAGAGAAGGGCATGGAAGACAATAATGTATACTCTCCCCTCCTCCCTGAATAATGAAAACCATGTGTACTTGTTCCCTCCGTATGTTAAAGATTTCCTTTTAGTGGTACATTCTGCACTCATTTTGTATAGTCTACCAAGGCGGGTATCCCTAGGAACAATATTATATAGGAAGCAGGTATACTCTGATCACATTCAGGATAAGTGTACAGAAGAAAATACGGTGTTTACTCTTTAGGGAACTGGAAACACTCCCTGCATTGATGTACATTTTAAGAATGGCACTTTTGATACATGTTATCATAAAAGTGCTTAATAGAGCTGAATTAAAGTTTTTCAAATCTGTAAACAAAGCAAAAAAGTTAATTGTAGTCATTTGGTTATTTTTTAAATTGGTGCTTTATATTTTGTTCTCACTCAGAGTAAAAGCTGCAATTTATTGTTCACCAGCTTTGATGTATTCATTACTTAGTAATGCAATACCTCTATTGTTGAATTCCCTTTAGACATAAGTAAAAATTCTAACGGCCACCGAAAGCTGCTCGCTAGGTTTTGCTTGGTGGAGAAACGTAGTCTGCACCTATTAAATTAATTGGGTTGTATCCCCATTACAAAAGAAGAAAGGGAATGTGGCCTTTTTAATGTGTTTTTTATTGTTGTTTTGTAATCATCAAACCCAGGTAAGATATTGGTATCCTGCACTGGATTTTCAAATGAAATTCAGCGGAAGACAGTTAAGATTCAAGTACTATACAAAAATTTCCTAAGGGTCCATGCTACACTATCTGTATGATGACACTTAGGCTGGGGATCTCTTTCAGAAACTCAGACTTAAAAGCAACCTGGAACAGTTGATCCACCTCCACATTCAAGTAATTTATGAATATGCAGAATAGGGATCTGTTCATCTAGAAATTTTTACCATTTGTCTTCTGTGTAGCTGCAAGGAACACTAATGTTTATACAACTGTCAGTCCACCCAGTGGTGCAACTGGTTCTGATTCAGTCTTCCGATTCCTTTTTTGTTTTTCACTTTTTCCTATTTCTGAATTTTTTTTTTATTCGTGATCTTGATTTTGATGAGGGGTTGGGGAGTGGGGAGGGAGTCGAACCAAGACTTGGAGTTAAGAGGATTTTCATCTTTTGCATCCAACAGGCAGAATATGATCTGTGTCCAAAAGTGAACTTGAGTCAGGAATGAAACAATTTCAGCATAAACAAGCACAAAAATTTAGTCTGCTGGCTGACTGGAAGCAAAAAAAGTCAAGATGGAATATGATGAATTCCAACACAATGGGGCACCAAGGCCTTTAGGCCTCTCTTTTTATTTTGCTTTGGTTTAGTTTGTTTTTCTTTAGAGACATGCTCTTTCTCATGGGACTTGAAGTGGACTCATCTTTGTGCAGTGCTGGTTTTGCCATACTCATTTCAAGTATTATAGACATATGTAATGGTGAAAATATATGAACTGTGGCCTTTTTCATTCTTGTTACTTGTGATGCAATTAAGTGAAGATAAGAAAAAAAAAAAAGCAGAGATTTACCATGTATCAGTGCCTGGCTTTTTGTTATAAAGCTTTGTTTGTCTAGTGCTCTTTTGCTATAAAATAGACTGTAGTACACCCTAGTAGGAAAAAAAAAACTAAATTTAAAAATAAAAAATATATTTGGCTTATTTTTCGCAGGAGCAATCCTTTTATACCATGAATATTACAAAAAAAATTGTCAGATTCTGAATATTTCTTCTTTGTAGATTTTTGGAATCATTATGAGTAAAAGTTTGTTACTTTATTTTACTATTTAAAAGATGTTATTTTACCATGTGTTATCGACACGAAACTGTATGGGTAGCTTTTTTGTTTGTTTTTTGTTTTGTTTGTTTTTGTTTTTTTAGTTGTAGGTCGCAGCGGGGAAATTTTTTGCGACTGTACACATAGCTGCAGCATTAAAAACTTTAAAAAATTGTTAAAAAAAAGAAAAAAAGGGAAAACATTAAAAAAAAAGATAAACAGTTACACCTTGTTTTCAATGTGTGGCTGAGTGCCTCGATTTTTTCATGTTTTTGGTGTATTTCTGATTTGTAGAAGTGTCCAAACAGGTTGTGTGCTGGAGTTCCTTCAAGACAAAAACAAACCCAGCTTGGTCAAGGCCATTACCTGTTTCCCATCTGTAGTTATTCGATGAAGTCATGTACATGACCGTTCTGTAGCAATAAATGTGCCATTTTTATAAACTGTTTCTGACACTTGTTTCATTTCATTTTGCATTGTCCATATAGCTATGATTCTCTTCTGTAAGTCAAATGCATCTATATTTCATTTTCCAAGTGTTGGAGGTATTGACAGCTTAACAAACAAAACATTAAAAAAAAAAATCACAAAAAACAAATTGTAACGCAAAGCACATGGTTGATCAAGGAAGAGATGCCCTTAATGAAAATGGAACGAGATGCATGCAAAACAAAAAGAAAACTGTCTAGAGGATTAACTAATTGAAGGAATATAATTAATGTGCATGTAACACTGAAGCTATGCATTTGAAGAGCTCTGAACTGCACCAGTGTTTTCGGTTGTGCTGCAGGTTGCTAAGTCAAGTCAGCCTTAACCTTTTGCATCAGTTGGTCGGCTGTTTGGCAGAACATTCTCAGCTAGATCTTTTCAGTCAAAAACTAAGATGATTTATTTCGTATCACTTTGTTAAAAGCTGAATATTGTTAACCACAGTTAATATTAACACTGTATTTATACTTTCTCAAACTACACCCGCCCCACCACTTCTGGTTGCCTCTGTTGACTATTAATCCAGATGTAAACAACCAGATGTTTTTTTCTAACTTGTACAAACTGACGCGTGTCAACTATTATGGAAGGAAAAAAATGTACAGATTAAAATTATTCAGTGTTATGTACTGTAAGTTAATATTTTTGTAGAATGGACATCAATCTACTTTGCAAAATTTGGAGGCTATTTAAACATTGCACTGTAGAAATGTGAAGTAATGTATGCAATGTAAAGGAAAGCCCGCGGCAGCTGAGCACTTCCTAACAGAATGTTCTAATCGAGTACGTGGTATTTGAGGATGTCTCCGATATTGCTCTTGTATTCTTTCTGATTGGGTTTAGTGACTAGTTGAAGGACAATGTTATAACGCCATTTGGTTCACATGTGAAGTGCCCTCCATAGCCAAATGTTGGGATTTTTTCTTCTTTTTTTGGTTGAACTGTTTGCAGATATTTAAATTTTATGAAATTTCCAAAGATTTTGGTTGATAACCCCCTTTTACCTTCTAAATGATTTGAGATGTTCTTATGTTCTTACTGTGTGTTTTAAATATATATATAAGAGCCACAAGAATTTAGTCTTTTAGTATTATATTTGATCATATACCTACTGGAAAATGGGGGGAAAGTGGGCACCCCTACAATATCTCTTGTGTAGTGTCTATTAACATTCTTCTGTTGCTCTTTGAGAGGACCACATTATAAGGTACATTAATCTTAGATTTTGGTTCATTTTCAAAAGGAAGTTAAATTGCTGGAGAACCTAAAGTATTATCCAAAACTTAAGATCACAATAATTTTAGAAATGATGAAGGGAGGAGTATCCAAAGGGGCTGAAATAGGGAATCATTTTTAGCCTGATAATTGGGTCCAAAACCATTCATCCAAAACCAAATGAAATTTATATTCTCAGCTTCATTTGTAGAGCACCTTTCTCTTGAGGAACGGCCCAAGAAATTTCATGTGTAAGCCTCTTTAAGGGAGACATTGAAATCAACAGAAGGAACTTGTGTGCTGCTTATATTCAAATCACACCAGGATTGCACATTTAATTTGCACTTGGGATACCTCATGCTCTGCCAGCCAGAAGATCTCTTGTTCCATAAGGAATTCTCATTCAAATGGGTTACAAGTCCACATTCTCACCAGTCACAGCCTGTGTTAAAAATAAACATGGCAAGTCTTTAAAGGACTAGAAGGGCGTGAAGAGCCAGAGTCACTTTGGTATTCTTGAGAGATCATTTAAATTGATAAGGTTTGATGAACAAAGGCACCTCAAGTGAGACCACCTTTTCAGGATAGGAAGACAGTGCCACAGCTATGAGAGAGCAGTAGTTACAGGTGCATTGAGGTGCCCCCTACTGAGTTGCTAGGTGCTGTGGGGTCAGAAAGTAAAATCAACCAGGCAGTGAGTATCTGGGTATTTGTTTTTAGTGTTAGACACTAAGATTACTGAATCCACACCTAAATATAACAAGTATAGTTTAGGCTTTTTGCTATGGAATGGTGTGTATGAAAGTGTTTCTTGCCACTTTGGGGTTTTGGACCCTTTGAAGAATGAAACCACTCCATAGAGGGGAAATAGGATATATGTATGAAATGTCACATTCAACTTTTTTTTTTTTTTTAAGAGAGAGGGGCTTCATCTGTCAACCAGGCTAACATATCAATGCATCCTCCAACTCCTGGACTCAAGCAATCCTCCTGCCTCAGCCTCCTGAGTAGCTGGGACTACAAGTGTGTGCCACAATGCCTGGCAAATTATTAAAAATTTATCATACAGACAGAGTCTTGCTATTTTACCTGAACTAGTCTTGAACACCTGAACTCAAGGGACCCTCCCAACTTGGCTTCTCAAAGTGCTAGGATTATAGGTATGAGCCACTATGCCTGGCCCAGACAAATCTCTCTAGCATCTAGCCATGGATGCTTGTTCATGGGTCAAGTTAAGAAAATCTGGTGTAAGATGCCAAAATCTTCAATACTTGACAAAGGAATAAAACTTGTCCTATTTACGTTGATTGAGATGGTTGAGCCTAACCAGAACTGGACTGGTGTCTGGGTTTTAGAGAAAGACTCTTTGTGTAACAGAAAATAATACGGTTCCTATTAACATCTGTTACACTATATTTAGAAGTCAAATGGCTTTAGCATTGGCATGAACATTCTTCTAAGAGGAAGCTGAAAGTTGCCAAGTGCAAAGTGAAAATGCTCATGCAGAATCAGACTTGCTGTTGTGAGGTTTTTGACCATAACCAGCCCAGGAGTGAGGAACTTTTTTGTTCTTGAGCAAAAATGACAAAATTTTGGAGAATAGGAGAACTTGATTGTTGTGAGGAATTATTTTATTTTACATATGTTTATTTGTGAGTCTGAGATCATTTCAAGGATGAGAAAATGCAGGCACAGGGATGTGCTCAAGTCCTTGGGGCTAAAACAAGTAGCCGGTGTCCTGATTTTGAGCCCAGGGTCACTGCACTGACCCACCTCTTGAACAGCCACTTGACTTCCCACCTTTAACAATATGCCTCCCCCACCAACAACTGCCCACAGTCTCATTTTTTGTTTGTTTCCCTTTTATTCTTTTTGCTGCCTTTTTATGAATCTTTTACAGGAGCATTGTCAAACTTCCCTCCTGTTCTCTTTTCCAACCTATTCTACAAATTGTTAGGTTATAATGAGATGTGAGAACATTCACGCAGCAAGAGTCTGCTAGCCAAACTCAAGTTTTCACTCTGGCCCGCCCACTTGTTTAAAAATAAACTTTGTCCTTTGGAATAATTTTAAATGTATAGAATAGTTGCAAAGATAATAACATAACATTCCCATGGACCCTTCACCCAGTTTCCCCTAAAGGGAAAAGGTTGCATAACCGTGGTACATTTGTCAAAACTAAGACATTAGCAGTGGTTCTTTATTTAAATTTCACCGGTTTCGCCACTAATATACTTTTTTTCTGTTCCTAAATCCAGTCCAGGAACCCACACTGCCATTAGTCTGACACACTTAGATTTTAAGTGCTAACAGAGGCATACCAATTCAAGTCCGCACAGTATTCCATGATCTGAGGCCCTTATCAAAGCACATCCACACACTTCCCAAATAAACCATCAGTAGAAAATCAACTGATTTTCTTTTTACAACTCCTTCCATTATTCTTGAAAATCATCCTTGTTTGATAAAAGGTATTGCAGCAGTAGGGAGAAGGCGGGAATGGAAAAGGAGCAAGAGGAGACCCAACAACACCCATGACCTGAAAAATTTAAATAATAGCATCATCCATTCATCAATTGATTTTTTATTGACTGCTGATTAAGTCAAAATCACTGTGGGAGTTACAAGGCAACAATCCCTAATTCCTACCTGTATGTCTAGTTAGAAGGCAATAGATGCATCTATATGACCAACAATAATTACCGGAAGGCAGGAACAAACCATGCTGGGGAGTGGTAAAGAGAGGCACTGGGGTTGCTTCCAGAAAAGATGGGATGTTTGTAAAAGTGACCTTCAGGTGTGAGGAGTATTTTGTCAGGTAGAGAAGATAATGGAGCTAAAACAATGGCAAGTCTTATTGCACTGTGAAGAAGCAGACTTGTAGGAAGACAATCATGATAGTTTAAACGATGATGATGCATTTTTTCTTATTTTCATCACCTTCCCATCACCCAAGCAACAATATCTGGAAACCCTTGGCTGACCTTTTGGGGTTACAAAATTATTTAAGGCTTGCATGTACAGAATGGAACTATTCACATCCTACCTGAGCACAGTGGCTCACACCTGTAATCCCGGCACTTTGAGAAGCCAAGGTGAGAGATCACTTGAGGCCCAGGAGTTCAAGACCAGCCTGAGCAACAAAGTGAAACCCCTGTCTCAAAATAATAATAATAATAAAATTAATTAGCCAGGTGTGTTGGACTGTGCCTGTGGTCCCAGCTACTCAGGAGGCTAAGAAAATAGCTTGAGCCCAGGAGGTTGAGGCTGCAATGAGCCATGATCATGTCACTGCACTGCAGCCTGGGCTACAGAGTGAGACCCTGTTTCAAAATTTTTTTAAAAGGAAAGAAAAGAAATATCCACATCATATTATTGATTATTCTGAGGATGTGTAGGAAAATCTAGGCCAAACCACACATTTTAAAGTGAAGGCCAGTAAGCCCTGAGAACTTAACTGAATCTGCACAGTTCCCTCATGCTAATGTCTGAGCTCTAAAAGGAACTCTGGTTGCCTGACTCCCTATCGAGGAACGCTTTGCAACATATCGTCCTGTCAATAAAATGACACTTTAGCCCTCCAGAAGTCCACAACCCAAGGATATGTGTGAGCAACTAGAGCAGCAAGTGCAAGTGATGGGGGCTCTAGAGGAACAAAGAAGAACTGGGCAGGGAGTAATTGATACTCGGAAGATTGCTGGGGTATCCTTCAGAGCATGATAGCCATGTTCTGTAGGAT